ACACTATCAACGTTTCGCGTTTTCCACGTCTGAAATTTAATCGATCATTCTCGCCGAACGATCACTATAGACATGTCGTCCTACTTCATAATGTTACGAACAATTTGGTCATCGTATCGAACAGATCAACACTAACATAATCCTAGCAAATGTTACGACCTGGTTGTAAAATGGATGAAAACATATTCGCTATTTCATTTCAATTCAAACACTCAAATGAAACATTTGTATGATCGTTTCCGATGCTTCAAACAAAACGAAGGAACTAACTAGATCATCTGCTTTACAAAAATACACATCGAAACCATCGACAATTCGCTTTGTTTTCGCTCGACTACGTCCTTTCACCTCAAAAACGATGCAATTCATATTCTTCTGTTCATCAATCGATCCTACTGAATCAGTGCAACGATGCAAACAACGATCATATTGAATTGAACTGATCAATATGAAAAATCAGCAAATTAGACCATCCACAGTCTTTTGCAATCTTTGTTACAATTTAAGATAGAGCTCGATAGATGCTTTGATTGCCTTTTAAATGTGTATGATGAATAAGGGAATGAATTCAGTGAAATAATTCAACAAATCCGTACGTACATACCTGTTGAAGGAACGGCAAAACAGGTGGTTCAGTGGTTTGTAGGAAATGAATAAGCATAATACAAAGCGCGTACGATGAGAGTCGACCACACGATGCGTCCTTGATTTCACAATATTCACTCCATCTTTTTAGCATTATACCCAACTGTGTTACACGTTTGTCGACCGTATTATATGCGCGTAATAAACTCGTGTTCTCAATGGCTAATTTGTTATCGTACGACAAACTGAAATCATATATTCACAATTGAAACGACAATTTCAATTTATCGAATTCTTCCAGTATTACTTATATTAGGTGAAAATGATTTCAAGATCAACTCAATATCAGTTCTGCAACAATTGACTTCAAATGAAGATGACAATAAATGTCACGAATTAGAAACCAGAACAAATGAATGTAAAATTGCAAACATAACTGACTCGAACTGAAAACAACCAAGTACATCTTTATAAATAAATTTCACAACTGGTACGCGTGCATTTGGAATCGGCTGCACCTCAGTTACTTCCGGAATTTGAGGCAACACATCTGTCAGTTCCGTTATTACTGCAGTCGAATCCGGTTGCTGAAAATACGACTTCAATTAACAACGACAATAATCA